GAAATCCCGAATCAATTATGGGATGATTGTATATTTAGTATATGGTATAATTAGACTTAAATTAGGAAATATCTTTTCTTTCTTAAGTTAGAATATTATTTTCCTTTTTCTTCTCCATTGTATTGTACTATATATAGTGGGCTTGTTTGAGCCTCATTTTTTCAAAACTTATTTTCAACTACACATTTTTTAATAAAATAATTTTACATGTAGATTAAAAAAAATTTCTTCTTTTTTAACCACACATTCTCCCAAAATCACTATTCTAAAATGCATTTTTTCCTCCAAAATGGGGCTCAAACATGGGCGGTGGCTTAAAGTTGTTAGAATTATTCAAGAAAGAATAAAATTATTTTTTCCATTAATTTCTACATGGTATCAGAGCATGGGTGAATTCAAACCCGGCTATGGCAGAAAACACAGCCTCCTCTGAAATCGGAACCAGCGAGACCGAAACTATCCCCATCATGAATTCAATTGGAATTGATAATTCCTCCTTTCAACTCACGGTGGCGAAACTCAAGGGTAGAAATTACTCAATTAAGCTAGTAGTTGACGGGAAAGGAAAAATTGGGTACCTTACTGGCGACACTAAGCAGCCTACGGATCCGACACTTCAACAAAAATGAAAATCTGAAAATTCCATGGTGATGTCATGGCTCGTCAACTAGATGAAGCCGTTAATTGGAAAAATTTACCTCTTCATGGCAATCGCGAAGGACATATGGGATACTGTTCGAGAGATGTACTCCGATGCGGAATATGCATCTCAAAATTTTTGAAAGTAAGACAAAATTATGGAAGGCGAAGCAAGGAGAAAGGGATATCACTGAATACTATATGGAGATGACTACTTTATGGCAAGAATTGGACCTTAGCATCGATGAACAGTGGGATTGCCCTAGTGACAGTGTTCGATACAAGAAAAAGGGTGGATAATGAACGAGTTTATGAATTCCTGGCTAGGTTGAACAGAGAATTCGACGATGTGAGAGGTCGGATTCTCAGTCGTCGGCCTCTACCGTCCACCAGGGACGTTTTTGCTGAAGTGATTGCTAAAGGAGATAAATGGGCCTGATGAAAGTGTAGATGGATCGGCCCTCTTATCTAACTCTGGTAGGCCTAAAGGAGCAGCTTTTGGGTCATATGAAATTGGGCTTAAAAGAGATGCTGCCAAAATTTTTTTAAAAAAAATATGATAGACCCAAATTTATTGGGCTTGATTTGGGAGCTCAAATGCTTAGAGGAACAAAAAAAATTAGATCCAACCCAAGACAACAAACGGGTCGTCTATGGTGTGATCACTGTCGGAAACCTGGACATAAAGAAGATACATGTTGGGATTTGCATGGAAAGCCACCCAACTGGAAACGAAGACAAAACACTAGAAATCACGGCTACCAACCTACAATCAATTCCTCTGAAATACAAAGTTCCACTTCAAGCAGTGCATTTAATCCCAAGCAACTAAAACAACTCTACAAAAGGCTTTCTAATTTTCAATCACCCAGCTCGTCAAGTTCCTTAACCCACAGAGGTAATTTCCTGAGAGCTTTTAACACCACCTCATTCTCAAAAGTACCATGGATTATTGATTCTAGTGCGTCCGATCATATGACAGACTCACGATCTATTTAGTTCATACTCACCTTGTGCTGGTAATCTTAAAGTCAAAATTGTAGATGACTCTCTCTTCAGTGAACACGTTTTACATGTCCCAAATCTATCCTGCAACCTACTGTCCATTAGCCAATTAACAAAAAGTTCAAAGTGCTCCGCTAACTTTTTTCCTTCTTACCGTGTCTTTCAGGACCTATCATCAAAGGCGACGATTGGCAGTGCTAAAGAGTGTGAGGGACTATTACTTTGACGAGACTAATGAGAGTAAACAACGTTGATTTGCTAGTTGTGATTCTGTTTTTGTCCCTAAAGATAGTGAGGTTCTGTTATGACATTATAGAATGTGTCATCCCAATTTTCAATATCTAAGACATTTACTTCAATATTTTCGAATAAAACATCTTTTGACCTTAATTGTGAAATTTGTGAACTCGCAGAGCATCATCGTTCATCATTTCAAAAATCTGCGTACAAACCATTTAAACCATTCACTATAATACATAGTGATCTATGGGGACCCTCACGAATCCCTAATCGCACCAACACAAAATGGTTTATCACATTTATCGATGACTATCGTATTGTGTTCATAAAGTTCCATTCAATGGTCCAAACCTAATTTCAGACAAAAATTCAAATTTTGCGTACAGACAATGACACAAAATACTTCAATAATACACTGGGCACTTACTTCTGAGAAAATGGAATAATCCATCAAAGTTCTTGTGTTGATACTCCCCAACAAAATGGGGTTACAAAACGAAAAAACAGGCACCTCCTTAAGGTAGCTCGGGCTCTGATGTTTACTACAAATACACACAACCTTTTGGGGTGATGCCATCTTGACATCAACCTACCTCATAAACAGAATGCCGAGTCGCACTCTCAACTTTGAAAATCCTCTCCAGAAATTCCAAAAATTCTTCCCTAATACTCGTCTCACCTCAAACCTACACTAAAAGTGTTTGGATGTACGGCCTTTGTACACATACATTCCTAACATCGAAACAAACTTGAACCCCGTGCAATTAAGTGTGTATTCGTTGGATA